TCAGCCTGGGCCTGGCTGCGACGGCCTAGGCTGGAAGAGGGACCCAGAGGGTCTCCCACTTGCGAGGGGACCGAGATTCAGAGTCGTTGAAGGCCAAATTCCCGGCTTCCAATCCTCCCGAGGAGGCAAGGAAACGAGAGAGGAGGGGAGGAGGGGCCCAGGGCCCCAGGCGTTCTGGAGCGACCACGAGGGCGTTTACTGCAAACTTTGCCGAGGGCAGGGCGGTGGCAGGAGTCACCCAGCTCAACTCGCCTGGGCCCAGGAGGTTCTCTCCTTCCCGCTCCAGCCCGCCTCTTCCCCTCTCTTGTCTCTCTCCTTTCTACCCAGCTGTGCCTGTCCCTCCCTGTCTTTCTGCTCTAAGTCCAGGATTATTTCCCTCTTTCTTCCCAACTTTTCTCTTCTTCCATGGAATCCCTAGAACTGAGTCCTGGAAACAATGGATCGAAGTCGTTGTTCTTTAAAATAAAATAAATAATAAGCTCTTTCATTTTTAGACTAAGTGGCCTTATTTTTTTGTTTGTTTCAGTTAAAAGGCCATCTGGAATTCAAATAAAATGCAAAACAAACTTGGGAGAAAGGATCAAGAAAAGGCAAGCTGATGGGCCTGAGCAGAACTAGGACCCTAAGCCGGGGCTCAGCGGGTACTGGGGCCTACGGGGGCTGGGGCTGGGGCTGGGGCCGAAGTTGAGCAGGACTGCTGCCTGGCATCGTGTTCCCCAGGAAGTTGTTCTTGATTTAGTTTAAACTAAATGAGCAATGCAGAGTAGGGAGAGACGGTGGTTCCTGCACTCTGGAGTAACTGTTTTAAAAATCTTCTCGCTCCGTGGCTCAACGGGATCAAGGAAAGAGACATGGACAGCAGGAGTCCCTCGCTAGCCACGGGTTTCTGGGTTTCTGCTCTGCGGCCAGATTCTTGGACAAACCCAGTCTGGCCCCAGCCAGCTGCGGGAAAAGGGGCGGGGGCACTGCAGCTTCAACCCCTCACTTCAGCCCTCAGGGAGGGATAGAGAAGGGCTGAAGGGGGCAGGGAGCAGGAGCAGGTCCTGGGAATTTTGCTTCAGGGGAAATCTCCCAAGGAGATTGGGAACCATTGAAATCCCAAGATCAGACTGATTGAGTTGGAGACCCAGATTCCTTAAGCATCTGGAATCTCCTGTGTGCCTGAAACATGCACACACAACATGCACACAGACACACGTACACACATGCACACACGCTCCCTAACACACACACCGACAGACTTGCTTCTCTCCTCTCACAGGCTCAGTCCTGAGGAGGCTTGAATTTTCACTTAGGATTCAGGGAAGGGAAGGGGGAATTCCCATATTGTGTTCCTGTCAGGCAGTGACCAACCCTGGAGGGGCGTGGGGCAAGGAACTCAACTTCGGGGGCCACGGGAAACCCTTAAGAAAATGCCAAAACTTCTCTCCTCAACCCTCGGGTCTTAAACATCTGTTGGGGACTATTAGAGAGAGACATCACCCATTCCCAGATCTGGGAGGCCGACACTAGCCCCTCTCCCAAGTCACAGCCCCCCACCACAAAAATGCAAATGCTCCCCTCTTCCAGTTCCCAGCACCTGCCTTTACCTGAGCAGGAACGCGCCTTGCTGCGCTGCTTAGGGGTGAAGCTGGAGGCCGGCCCCCCCAGGAAGCCTCCGGGGTGGAAGAGTCCACTGCTGTAGTCGTGGGCAGCCGCAGGCACATAGGAGGGGTAGGTGGGGATGGGGTGGTGTGTAGCAGGCTGACTGCCCATAGTGGCTAGGCCTGGGCGCAGGGGACTGCCACTTTCCATCTTCATGCTCTCCGTCAGTGACACCTGGTACTTGACGCTGTCCTTGTCCTCCCCTCGGGCTGCGCTACCCCCAGCGGAAGATGAGGCTGGAGAAGCAGCCCCTGTGGTGCTGGGGTCAGGAGACACTTCTTTGGGTGGCGTGGGTGGGAAGCCGAAAAGGTGAGAGCCAGAGTGGGCTGCTGTGGGGGTGAGGGAGGCCACTGAGCTCCCGCTGCCTCCCCCGCTCCCACCCCCAGCCCCTGGGTACACAGAGAGTGGGCCTCCAGGGCCTCCAGCAGCTGAGGGGTGCAGTGGCGTCTTGGAGAAGGGGCTCACGGTCCAGGGGTTGTGGTGGTGGGCCGCAGCGGCAGAGAGGGCTGCTTTGCCCCCGTCCAGCCAGGGCAAACCCGGGCTGTGCAACAAGTGTGGGCGGCACATCTGGCCTCCAGTCAGGCGGGCTGCGGGCAGAGGGAGAGAGGGTCAGGGTGGGCAGAAGGATCAGGGTAGGCAGAGGAAGGGGCGCCCCTGACAGACACGTGAGATCACGACTCCCAGAACAAGTCGTCATCCCCTCCCCAAAGAAAACCAGAAACATAACACCCCACCGATAATAATTAGGAATGTCAGTCCGAGCTGAAGGACAAGCGGCATAGAAGGAACCCCACCGGAGAGGCCCTACAGAAACCCTCAAGGGCCAGCTGGAAATGGACAGAAACCCTATGGGTCCCAGACCCTCCCCAATCGGCCGCTGCCCCCACCTTTCCCGCCCCGATTTTTCAGCAACTCGATTCCTGCAGATCCCACATCCGGGAAGCGAGTAGCCGGGCCCTCCTCCCCTTCCTCGCCAGGCGCGCAGCTCCTGGGTTCCCATCCCTGCGGGCCCAGCGCTCACCGTGCGCCGGGCTGTAGGACACGCGCGCCCGCGCGTGGGCAGGGTTGGCGTAGTAGGGGTTGCCCTGCGAGTCGAGGTGATTGAAGAAGACGTCCACCTCGTCGGGAGGCAACAGCTGCGCGGGTTCCATGTAGTTGTGCGCCAGGCCCGGGTGGTGCGAGTCGGGGTGCTGCGCATTCAGCACCGCCGGGTGCGCCATCCAGCGCGGCTGCTCCGGCGCCACCTCCATGGCCGGCGGCGGCGCCTCGGGCTTTGGGTGGAGGCGGCAACGGCCCTGCGCGAGGAAGGGAGTGTGAGGCGTGCCGCCAGCGCCTGACACCCCCAAAGTCCCACCACGAGGTGTCCTGCGCGCCACGGAGCCCCAGCCCAGCTCCTCCGAGAACGAGGACCAGTCCCGTGTGGGAGGAAGCCCAAAGCTCAAAACGAAAGGAAGGCGGGGGAGGGGGTTCAGCCACGCACACTCATGTGGTGACCCGTGGCCCCAGAGCCACACACTCCTGCACATGGAGTCACACCCGGGGACCGGCCCCGACACCAGTGACCCCAACAAACGCACAGAGCAGCACTTCAGTCAGACACTCATACTGAACCCCCCGCCCGGTAAACAAACACAGGAACACAGACTCAAAGTTGGAGACTAGGGCCCGGGCACCCAGTGGGGCACTTGATCCCAGAGACACGCACACACCCACGCTTGGCGCCAGATACACATACTGACCTCGACCCCCAAGTACGCACAAGCAGCCCCTAAGCGCAGTCCTAAGCGGCACAACCAGAACCTCTCAAAAAGGCACACCAAAGCAGTCACCCGTAGCCTGGCCCCTCGCCGGAGCCACCCCCCCAGTCCCCTCAAAGCTAGGAGCGCCCCAGGCCCCCAGCCTGCTCACGAACCCCAAACTTACAAACGCAGCCGTGGGGAGGGGAGGGACGCAGCCGCTCTGAGTGAAAGAGCTCGGGCGGGAGCCCCGGCGGCTACGGGCCCAGGGACGGCGCGTCCAGAGGCTGGCGGGGCTTACAGGGTAGGAGCGGGGGGTAGCGCGCGCCTCGGCCTCGGGCCCGCCCGACTCCGGCCCCTCGGCATCCTCCGGCCGCCCTGGCGCCAGCTGCCGACTCCTGCACAGACATGAAGCGGGGGCCGCGCACGCCTAAGAAGCCCACGCCAGCCAATCAGTGGTGCGCGCCGCCCAACCTCCGCCTCCCATTGGCTGCGTCCGCAATTCCCGAACCGCTGGACTCCGGGACTGACCCGCCGGCTTGTCCCCCTCCGCCGGCGGGCCCCCTCCCTGCGCACTCCAGGCGGCCCCTGCTGCCAACGCGCCCCGCTACCAAGGGACCCTCACCCCAGGCTCAACCACTGCAGCCCCTCCAACGAACACTCCGGGATCCCTCGACGCTCTGGGGCCTCCCTAGCAGTAACTAACCACCAACTTTCCCCGTCCCCAGGAGCCCGGGCCGCGCACCCTCTGGATGGCCTCTCCCCGAGACCCTAACCCTGCTACGATCCTTCACCGCTGAACGCGGTCAGTCCGAGCGCGGCTACCCACCCAGACCGTTCCCTCCCCTAGCTCCAGCGCTGGCTGGGCTGGCTGGGGGTTGGGAGGGTCCAGAGGACCGCTGCAGGACAGCAGGAACCGAGACGGGCAGAGAGGGACAGGAACTGCAGGGCCCTAGAGGGCACCTGAGCCTTAGACACGCGGCCGCTCAAGAGCTGTGCTTGACCCAGTGGAGGTGGCAGAGCCGGTGGCTCCAGAGAGAGGGAGGGGGGATCCTCTCCCCGGGCGTGGCCTTCGAAGGCCAACGGGCCCAATTGCCTGGGGCGAGGCCGTGGAGACCCCGACTGGCGCCGGCGCCAGCTGGAGGGAGACGCCCCTGGGCAGGAGGTGGCATTTTTTCCTCCCGGGGGTCCCCGAGGTGGCCTCTGGTGAGGGGGAGGCGGTGGTCTGAGGTCTCCGTCCCCGAAGTCACCTGAAACTGCTCCCCACTCACTTCCAGCCCGGAGATCCGGCTCTACGGGTCGAGTGGGCCGGGCACACAAGTCTTGCCCCCTCCCACTGTACAGACTGGGGAGACAGAGGCCCGAAGGGAGCCCCGGGCCGACTGGGGTTCCAGGACAAAGGCATTTGGGAGGACCTAGACAGGTGCTGAGTGCTGAGGGGACTGAACCGCGTCCTCCAGCCCTCTTCCCTGCTGGGCCCGAGGCTCCCGGGGCAGATGTCCAGAGGGCCCCCAGGTGGGTCAGGGGCAGGAGGAGGGCTGGGGTCCGGGCCACCCCCGGGAGAGTGGGGGAGGGGCGGCGGGATTGACAGTCGGTAATTGGGTAACTGGAGGCGGCTTCTCAGGCCGGGCGGCCCCGCCACCGCGACGCCGAGCCCCTGACGTCACCCGATTCGCCAGGAAATGAACTTTTTAATAATCCGAGGAGGGAGGAAAGCCCTCGGTCCCCTCCGCTCCGGGGGCGCCCGGCTGGGCCCAGCTCCGCGGGCACGCCCCCGTCACCCCCTCCCCGGCCAGCTCAGGGCAGCGCCGACCGGGCGCGGGCTCAGGCTGGGGCTTCCTCCTGCTTCTGCGTCTGGCGTCCGTTTGTCTGTCCGAGTCCGAAGCGCAGGTAAACCGCGGGCCTTGGGGGGCGCAGAGCTCCACTGGGCTGGGAACCAGCGTGTCTAGTGCCCTGGGGGACCTGCCTGCCCTAGCCGCCTGCTGACCCTCCCGGCTCCCCTCCACTCTGGGGCGCGCGGAGCCGGGTCTGCTCCGAATTCCACTCCGCGGGAACCGAGGCCTGCCCCAGCCGGGAAAGGCGCGCGGGGCCGGAGGCAGAGCGCTAGGTCCCCGGCGCCGGGCCTCCGCGGCCAGGCCGGGCAGGTGAGCGGTCTCCGTGCCTCCCGGTTCCAGCTCCCCTCTACGCGTGCGGTCCGGCCGGGCCACTGTCTCTCCGTCGGTCTCTCAACTTCTCCCATTCTTTAGCTTACGATTCTTCATCAACGCGTAAAATGAGATCGCCGCGGAACTCGAGCCTATTTGGCGTCTCCGGAGCCTAGCAGGACCCTTTCAAAGACACCGCTGCCCGGGGATAATCCCCCGCGTCCGGCAAAGCTGCCCAGCTCGAGCGCGAACCCTGGGACCCAGCGCAGGAGGCAGACCCGCAGCTGTCCGCTGGGCTATGAAGGCCAGGACCGAGCGGAAGCTTCCCGCCCGGCCGCGATCTGCGCCGCGGCTCGCAGGGAAGTGGCTGCATACTGCCCTCGGGAAAGCAGGTAATTCGCCTTTTTCTCCCAAAGGCGCGATAAAAATTACCCCTCACCCCCCACCTCCGTTCTGTGTGCAGCCGCGGTTTCAGCGCCGCGAGCTCGGTGCCTAACCCCTCCGCGGCGGCGTCCTGGCTACTGCGGTAGTGGAGGTGGCCAGCCTGACTGAGTCCCCTGCCCAAACGTCAGCCCTGCGCTGCTGCCTGCCTGGCGCAGAGCGGAGCGAGGGAAGGGATTTAATTACCCCGCTCGGCAGCTCAGAAAATCGCCGCAGAGAGGCTTAGCAGGGCGGTTAAGGAGTGCTTGAGCCGGAGCCTCAGGAGACCCGAACCAGCCTCCTTGCCCGCAATCCAGTTGTGGCGGAAAAAAAGGAAAAAGGAGTTCTGCCAGGTCCCTGCAGCCCTTGGAGTTGCCTTCCTTGACAACGCAGGCAGGGGCCGGCTTAACTGAAGCCTCCACCTCGGTTGCAGGTCCTGCGTAGGATGCGGGACTGCTGCATTCTCTGGCGGAAACGAACCCGCCTGGGAGAGAGAAATGCGGCGCCAGGTAGCAGGAGGCCCAGTTGGCCAATAAATGGGGACCTGCGCTCGTGAGTGTCTGTGTGAGCCAGACAGACCGACGGACACCAACCGGGCCCCTCCCCACTAGAACGGAGACACCATCCTCCCACCTCGGGCCCCAAACTCCTGGGGAGGGTCTAGGCGGCCCCCAGAATCGGCTGGGATCTTGAGACGCTGTTCCAGGCCTGTTGAGAGCAGATTGACTCCAGTTTCTGGCCTTGAACTTTGGGGTCCCCAGATACCTTCAAAAGGACACATTCCCTTTTTCAGTATTTTGTTCGTTCGGGGAGCATAGTTGGAAATGCTGGCGCCGCCTTTGATCACATTAAGAAGCTGTCGCTTTCCTTACTTGGGAACAAGATTTCTCCGAGGACTGGAGATAATCAGCCAGGAAACAATTTTCTAAGGACCCCTTTCAAGTGGCCGGAGAGCTCACAGTGGCGATCGTCACCGTTTGAGTGCGTGCTTCTGCCTGGGAGCTGGGGAGGCAGCAGATTTGGTCCCCGGTTCTAGAGTGCTTCGCCTGCCTCTCCTAAGCCGCTGGTCTCAGGCCGGACACAGAGCTGCCCAGGTCTCCCGGGCCGCGCAGCCCTCCCCTCTGAGCCCTTTGTTTAAACTTAGCTCATCCGAGGCGGCCCCTTTGGGACGATAAGTTTGCCCTCCCTTTGTAACCTAATTCTTCTCGCGTTTCCTTATGGGCAGCTAATTGGCCCGAGGTGTGGGGCTGGGAGTGGGGTGTCAAGAAAACCCATTTGCTAAGGGACTACCTTCTATAGAGAAATTTAATTCGCAACCCAGCTGTCTCCCAGCCCCAAATTGGCAATAAACCTTGAGGGGTACGGAGAGGAAGTGGGGTGCTTTAGCAGATGGGTGCAGAAGTTCCCTTAAAGACGAGTCATTACATCTCAGGCCAGCAGTCATCCCTCCAGAGGGGGTGCACAAGGGGGGACTACGGCTATAACGGCCCCTCCTGCTCTTTGGGGTTCAATTCCAGCCCCCCAAATCAGAAGGCTCCCACCCTCAGCCTCAGTGCAGGTTCTCCCACCCCATTGCTCTTCTGCCTTTTTGGGAATCCTAGAGTCTGTGGCCCCCACGTCCTAGGTGTCTCAGCACCCTGGACCCAGGCGCCTCCGAGCTTCTGTATTGCTTCTGACCCCTACGTTCAAGCCTGGCAGCCTCCCCACGAGGCCCTGCTGAGATCCTCAGACAATCCGGCCGCCCTTCTCCCTCCTCCACGAACAGTCACGGTTTACTTGGAGCGGCCGAGCCGGCGGCCTGACAACTGGTAAATCCGTTTCGTTAGACGCAATTTGTCTGCAATTTGTCAACCCGGCTGGGAAACGCTCTCCAGACGCCTGGGCTGCCGCACGGGCCCTCCCTGGTTCTCGAATCCTGCCTGCTCATAAACGAATCCCAGCACGGGGTGCCTGCGTAGACCTGGAGCTCACCATTAGATGTTCCCGACCTCGGAAGAGGAGGCTTTTTCCAAAACAACGAATTTCCTTCCTTGTTTTCCGGTAAAGGAGCGGCCGCCATACACGGGGGCCCTGAACGCGGAGCCTTTCCCCTCGTGGTTGGAGCAACCCGGAGTTCAAGCCTGGCCGCCACCAAATAATTTTAAATGCCCCGTTTTCAAACAGATCCAGAATGTCGTCTACGCCTACCGGCGGCAGATCCTCAAGCCTGCGGCAGCCCCATTCTTATTGAAATCCTACTAAACGGATTCCGACTCTGGCTTCGGGCGGGGGGAGACTTCCAGACCCGGCACTCTCCCCCACCCGCACCCCAGTCACACAGGATAAAGGGCTGCGGGGCGCAAGCAGGAGCGAGCCGGGTTAAGCCGCGAAAAGCCGGCGCACGGGACCATCCGGCAGGTGCAGCCGCCGCTCGGCGGCCCTGCTCGGACGCATTTGCCGCGGCGGCCTGGGGGTTGGGGGCGGCCGAGACAAAGGCCCCAGTTCGGGGGCCGGGAGGCGGGGGTACTTTTCGAGGCTCTGGGAATGCCAAGGACTCTTGGCCTGTGGCTCCGAGAAATGGGAAGACTGGAGGCCCCAGGAGGGCCTGCTGTCCCCAAGTCCCCAAATACTCCCTTTGGTTCAAGTCCCTATAATCAGGGTTTCCGGTCTCTGTCAGGGCCAAGGAGAGCCCCAAAGGTAGGGGCCACAGGGCAAACAGACCAAGCGATTTGGTGCCCGGCTGGCCTGGCCGGGGGCGGGAAGGTCCCGGCCCAGGCGGGTGGAAGTGGAAGGAACTCACCGAGCGAGGCGCGGTGGGCGGCGCCCCCGGGCGGACGTGGTCGGACCGGAGCTGTGAGCAGGGAGAGGTGCCGGCTGGCGGGCTTGCAGAACCTGGGCGCGGGGTGACGGCGCTCACCAGCAGAGCCTGGGTGGCTCGCCGAGCGGCCGCATGGTGCCCAGCGGACGGCTTTTGTCCGCCTGGTGGGCGATGGGGCCCGGCTAGGGTGGAGGTGGCGGCAGGCAAGAGATAGACTTGAGCAGCGAGCACCGCGGCACTGGCCTCGCTACCTTCCTCGCGCTCACGCTGCTTCTCTCTCCCACACCGGCCCGCAACGCGGCTTTTTATTTCGACATCACTTTGCGGGGGGGCAGGGGGTGGCGACGGGGGCGGGAGCGCCGCAGGGGGCAGGAGGGTGCCCGGGGCTCTGCACCCGGTCTACAGGGTCCAGCCGCCAGGCCGACCGAGGGCCGCTAGGCACTCAGGGCGCGCACATCCTGTGCATCCACACTCCAGGCCTCTCCCGCCCTGTCCAGAGCGCACACGCGCGCCCCTGACCTCAGGGATGCTCGATCAGAAAGCCTGGGACACGTCTTTACTGAGACTCTCCCCGGGGACCCTCAGGAGCTGCAGGCACACGCAGTCACGCACTATGGTACTCAGACGTCCGCTCCCCTGTCTTCAATCCACTTCCAGGAGTGCTCGCACCGACATGCACACGTTTGTGCACATGTGCACGCAGCTGTGGCCCTGAGGACATTCTCAGACGGCCTGGATCACACCGACACACAAGGCCACACACTCAGATGCAGCTCGGCACACTCAGGACGCCCTCACAGCCAGACTGGTTTAGCTAAGCGCAGAGGCACAGCTCCTCTCCCGGTCCCACCCCCACTCCAGTCCCTAACTCTGGGGGACCCAGAGCACTTTAGACCTCCACCGTCTGGCGTCCCTCTGGCCCATCTGCGGGGTGGGGGGGGGGGGGTAGGTAGACTCTCACAAAGGGGGAAACAAGGAAGGGTGAAGAGGGTTTGTTCACAGAAGTGGGGGGCAGGAGGTGGGGAGAAGGTGAGTGTGGGAGTCCTCATCCCGGGAAGGCCCCCGAGTTTGTGGGCAAAGAGTCCAGTCCTTGTGTTGCCAAAGTTCTTACTAAGGGATTCAGCCAGCCAATGTCTCCCCTCACCCCTCACCCCTATGATTCCCATTCCATCAGACCAGGGAGAGTGAAAGTGGCCTGGGTACCTTGGACCCAGAGAGAAAGTCCTTGGCCTTGGAAGGACTGGGAAATTTGAGCTCCTGTGCCCAGGTGTGCCCCAAAGGAGTGTGTCTGTCCCCTGATCTTTGTGACATCTGCTGTCTATAGGTCTTTCTCCAAAACTGGTGGTGACTATTGCATTGTGTGTGTTTTCTATGCATGTGGCCCAAAGTCTACGTCCTGTGTGCCCAGGTGTGTCTGCATGCATTTATGATTATATCAGGAGTGTCTGCAAAACTTGGTATATTAGTATGTCCATTTCTTCTTGTGGGTTCCTGAGAGTGCGCGCATTGGTCAGTAGGTCACAATGCGGCTACTTCAGAGCATGACCCTGGAAGTTGGCACGAGAGAGTGTGTCTGTGGAAATGCTTGTGTGTCCCTTTGGCTCTGTGTCTGTGGGGTCATCGTGTCAGAGACTCGTAATGAGGGAGTGGGGATTTCCAAGTGTTTGCCTGAAAATTACAGTGTGTCCCTGTGTTTGTAGCAGTGTGCGTGCGGCATATCTATGAATTGGTATGTTTTGGAGTATGTGTGTGTGTGTGTGTATGTGCATATATCTAGGCATGTGTTACTGTGTGTCTTTTTGTTGTTGTTGTTGTTGTTGTTGTTGTCGTTGTTGTTGTTTTTAAGACAGGGTCTTGATCTGTTATCCAGACTGAAGTGCAGTGGTTCTGTCACCGCTCACTGCAGCCTCAACCTCCCGGGCTCAAGCCATCCTCCCACCTCAGCCTCCTGAGTAGCTGGGACCACAGGCATGTGCCACCATGCCTGGCTAATTTTTTTATTTTTATTTTCATAGAAACACAGTCGTACTATGTTGCCCAGACTGGCCTTGAACTCCTAGACTCTAGCGATCCTCCCACCTCAGCCTCCCAAAGTCCTGGGATAATAGATGTGCATCACTGCACCTGGCCTGTGTATGTCTTTAATAGTTTGTGCCTGGGTATCTGCATGTGTCCTTGAACTGGTGTATGTGTAGGTATGTGTGTGTGTGGTGTGTTGCATGTGTCTGGATATCCATGTATAATTCTGCAACTGATGGCTGTGGGGTGCGTGTATTTGTGTATCTGAACATTTGTTTGGCTGTATGCATGCCCAACTGTCTTTAACATAGGGTATCAGTGTGTATCGTTGTATCTTTGAACTGCTGGTGGGGAGGAGATGTATCCGAGCATGTCTGCATGTCTATGTACAGCTCCATGTATGAATTGATGTGTGTTGGGGTGGGCATTTGTATCACCTATCTGGGTTGTGGGCAACTGTACCTATGACTATGTCTTTGAAATGCATGTTTCCCTGGCCAGCGCTGCCCTATTCTGTGGACTGTGGAGGTGTGTGTCCTGGGTGACGTGGGGGGAGGGGGTGCATCCTCCAGGATCACCCACCATCCAGACCTTCCTTAACCAGCAGGGCAGGCCGCCAGTGGAGCTCCAGGGTACCATTTGCTGGGCACTTTCTGCCTGTGGGAGGGGAGATGAGCTGATAAGCCTTATCTGCTGTCGCCAGCGCCATGCTGAATAACTGCTCTAATGAGGTGTCCTCGCTGGGACCACCAGATCCCAAGACCCCGGGCCTCACCGGGGAGGGGCAAGGGTGAGCTAGTCTGAAGCACAAGAGCAGGGCCTGGATGCCTACGGGGCCTTTTCTAGTTCTGTCTTGTTTCCTTGGAAAGGGGGTTCCAGGCCTTCCACCTCCCCACCTCACCTGCCTCCTGCCTACTGGGCAGTGCTGGACTGGCCAGACCAGAGCTGGCTGGAGCCTTCCAGTCTCTGGTCTGCAGCCAGGTTCATAGCCTTGAGAGGCAGGAGGTATGGGACCTGGAGGTGTGGGGCCCTCAGGGTGGGGTGGATGGGGAGAAATGGAAATCCAGTGACAGAAAGATCCAGAGAGAAAAGGAGTGGGGAGAGACAAGGAGTGGGGAAAGAGATGGGAGGCCCAAGGACAGATTTTTAAAAACAGTAAGGAAGAGGCACTGGTTGGGACAGGGCTAGGGGTTGGGGACACTCAGGGACAGAAACAACTAAAAAGTGGCAGAAAGGGTCAGAAAGATGGGAATAAAAGCAGAGAAGGTGATAACCAGAGAGACATAGAGACATGAGACATAAGAGAGGCTGGAGAGATAAGAGACAAATAAAGAGATGGGAAGAAAACCCCAGAGAGGCTCAAAGAGCCACTGCGAGATGAGGGACAGAGGTGAGAAGGGCCCTGGAGAAGAGTGGATACACAAAAGAAAGATGGGCTGGATGGGACGGACAGACTGAGATGGAAAAGCAGACGGGGCTCAGCCGCCAGACTCGATGCGCCGGGGCGCGGGGCGAGGCCAGGCTGGGCAGGAGCTGCGGGCCGCCGGCAGGGCGGGGCACTGAGGCGCGGGCGGTGGCGGCGGGCAGGGGGCTCCGCGCGGGGCTGCGCCGCTGTCCGGGGTAATTTTTCATCTCGGCCGGCTAATCTTTGTTCCCGGCGAAGATAATGAATAGCCAATCGTTATCTGCCCGGCTCCCGGAGGCTGCCCGAGAATGGGGTTGTACAGGGCTGGGAATTGTTTCCAAAGTGCCGCGGAATAAATGGTGTTCCTTATCTCTGCCTTCCAGATTATCGGAGCCCTTTCAGAGAGCGCACAACAAATGCGCCCGCCATCGAATGCATCATTTACCACCGCAGATCCGCGCGCTGATGGGCAGGCAGATAGCCGTCCGCTGGGGGCACGCGGGCGCCCAGTGCCCGCACCACCCGCCTGCCTGCCAGGGCCACAGAGTGTGTGCCCCTGTGTGCCCGGCGTGTTTGGATGGACACGTGGGTGTGCCAGGGCATGGGCTAACGCTGATGCGAGTGTGCGGGTGTGTCAAACAAGTGTGCCACAAAAAAGTGCACATGTGCGAGTCCATTCATGCACATGCATGGCGGTCGTGTGTGTGCTGAGTGCCCGAATGTACCCGATGAGGCGGTTGGAGGGTGCACAGGAGGCAGCAGTGCACTGAGCATGTGAGCAGGCATGTGGCCCAGGGTGGCTGGACACGTGGTGGAGGAATGGGAGTGCAAGCCCGCGTGTCCGAGTGCAGAGGATGAGCGTCCTGCGAGTGCCTAACTGTGTTTGCCCTGGAGGTGGCTGTGTATTTTAGGGGGGGGGGGGGCATGCCAGAGGCCACTAGGGTCGATGTGCGGTGTGCATGCAGGTGCCCGCCCTGCGTTGTGTTTCAGGGCACACAAGCTTCCTGTGCCTTCTGGGGGTGAGCGTCCAGGTTTCAGTGCTCCCTCTGGGAGTGAACTTGTGGTGTGCTCGGGTCTGCGTGAGGCTGTGTGTCCTGCTGTATCTCTGCCCAGGTGTGCCCAGGTGAGCTGCGTGAGGGGCACGGGGGAACGGCAGTAGTTGGGGCCTGTCCTTGTGCCAGCGTGAGTAGACTCTGGGCTGGGGAAGCGACAGGGAATGGTGTGTGCGAGTGTGACAGACGCCAGAGCGGCGAGGTGGAACGTGCTGTGTCACAGGAGACTTTTTGGCAGAAAACGGAGTGGGCGAATTTAGGAGGAGGGGCCGTCCGCGGAGTCTGGGGACACCCGGGGTCCGAGCCCCAGAGCCTCCCCGCCGGAGCTCTGCCGCTGGGGCAAGGAAGCCCGAACCCGCCGCCTGAGGTCCCCGCGCCGTGAGTGACACGCGCCGCCGACAAAGGCTGTATTTTTCCAGGCTTGCGCCCCGCCCGCGTGCGCGCGATGGTCCCCATGGCGACGCAGATAGCGCCGCAGCCATTTTCCCTATCTCCCCGGAGTCTATTATACTGCGGGATTAGCTCATCTCCAGGCAGGTCAAACCCAAAGTCACACAACCTGCGACGCAAGCCCCGCCTCCGCTCCCTGGCCGCCCCTCCCCCGCCCCCCCGGCCCAGGCCCCGGCCCAGGTCTGGGCCCCGGCCCGGCGACCCCCGGCCGCTGTCCAAGCGCAGGCGCAGAGCGCCACCTGGCGGCCGCGGAAGTCTCCGGTGGAGTCCGAGGAGCCGGCTCCCGTGCAGAACAGGTTGGGTGACGGTCTCTACTTCCAGAAGGCGGGCTTCCTGGGAGCAGGGGCTTTGCTTTGTCACTGCTAGTTCTCCAGGGCCAGGCTGACACACAGTAGGTGCTCCATAAGTGTTTGTTGAAAGGATGGGTTGATGGATGGGCAGGAAATTATAGACGGGGTGGGCGGGGTGGGAGGCAAGCTGCCAAAGGCTACAGTTTAGTTGGCAGCAAGAAATCGTTTCTGAGAATGCATCCCACTGAATTTAGAATAAAAGCCAAAAAAAGCCAAACTTTTAGAACCTATGTAGTGGCCCTTACTGACCTCTCAGACCTCATTTCCTTCTTCCTCACTGCATCCCCAGTGGCTGTCTTCCTGTTCCAGAGTGTTCCATCTCAGGCCCTTTGAGTCTACCGTTCCCGCCACCCCGAGTGCATTCCACCTCCACTCAAGTGTCACCCTCCGAGAGCCAGGTCACTCCCTTGTGCCTCACTCTTCCCTGTGAATTTCTTTTTCTTTCTTTCTTTTTTTTTTTTATTTTGAGACAAAAGTCTTGCTTTGTTGCCAGGCGCCAGGCTGGAGTGCAGTGGTACAATCTCCTCTCACTGCAGCCTCAGCCTCCTGGGTTCAAGCAATTCTCCTGCCTCAGCCTCCCGAGTAGCTGGGACTACAGGTGCCCACCACCAAGCTCAGCTAATTTTTTATGTTTTTAGTAGAGATGGGTTTTCACCATGTTGGCCAGGATGTTCTCAATCTCTTGACCTCGTGATCCGCCTGTCTTGACCTCCCAAAGTGCTGGGATTACAGGCATGAGCCACCGTGCCAGGCCCTGTGCATTTCTTTCATAGTGCTTAACACAGTCTGAAATCGCCTCGCCCCTGTGTGCGTGCTGTCTGGCTCTCCCTCTAGTATGCCAGGCTTCTTGTGGAGGTGGGGGCTCTGTTTTGCTTGTGGCTACAGCTCAGCAATTGGAATCATATCCGACAATTGATTGGCATCAGTCGAAACTCTGGAAATGAGGGAATGAGGATAGAGGGGCCTGGACGGCCTTCATCATTGTCATTTCTCTTTATCACTACGGGAGCTCCTCTTCCCGTCCCGCTCCCCCCATGACTTTCTGCAAGTCATTCAGCAGCCACTCCAGCCCCACTGATCTGCCCCCATCCCAGAGGGGCCTGGGATGGAGGGAGAGAACCACTGAGGCCCCTCCACATCCCTGCACCGCCATGCCCATCGGGGCGGAGAACACTCCTCACCTGGCTCTCGGGAGCTGTGGCCTCTCTAGGGAGGGCTGGCCTGCCAGTGAGACTTCAGTCATAATACAAGATAATTATGCCAGAGTTGTCATGAGGCAGTGATGATTAATTGCTGTGCATGGGGCAGAGACCAACAGCGAGGTATAGAGAGCAAAGAGAAGGCCAGAGCCCAACTGGGCTTCCAGATGGGAGCTCGCCCTGCCCATCTCTGCCCTGGAAGGGGCTCAGCAGGCATCAGGCCAAGCTTTACCTGCCCAGGCAGGCTTGGGACAAACCCTGGGAAAGAGCCTTGGCCAGGAGCTCTGAGAATTAGCTTCACTTCCCTCAGAAATGCCCCAATTCCTTCCTGGAAGAGGAGCTGTGTGACAGCTCAGGCCAGGGGGTCAGGACTCCCCTATCTCCTCCGAGCACACTCACATACATACTCCTACCAGCTGGGTGGCTGAACGAAAGTCATTTTTCTGCTCTGAGCCTCAGGGTCTGCCTCTGCCCACCTCCCTCTAGGATGACTGGGAGAATTATGTGTGAGCATGCATTTAAAGAGTTGTGTTTTGTAAGCCCAGGCTTTGCAAATTGTCAGCCCAAGTCTCAGGGGCCTGTGCAGTGACTGATCATTGCCAACATTTCGAAGTAGAAAGATGTCACGTAAAGAACGTCATTTCCAGCTTCTCTTGAAAAGTTGTAAGATGAGCCACCCTGGGACTGTATTCCTGAATGGCAATGTAAGGGTGGAGTCCTGCAGCGTCACCGCCTATGATAGTGTGCACCAGGGTTCCCACCCACCAGCTGCCGGCCCTTGGGTCGGGCATGTGCCCCTCATGGAAACACCAGTTACTGTGGCTGTGTTGGTTTCGACTTTCCTTCTCTGTAGCCTTCCAATATCTTTCTCCCTCGGGGTACTGTAAACCACTTAGTAATTAATTAGTTAATCAATTAATCTTATCAGCACTTTTAAATAATGTGCTAGGCCATGCTGTGGTGGACCCCAGGTGGACAGCAGCAAACCAAACAGCCATGGGACCTTCCCTCAGGGAGCAGTCAGTCCAGTGGAGGAGTCAGATATGACTCACCACACAGATGGAAAACTCTCCACAGATGATGAGACTGCTGAACACAGATGGCCTGCGGCTGAGTCCAGTCTTACTTGCAGAGATCTACGCTGGGCCAGGCCCTGTGCTAGGCAGCAGAGGACATGGAATAAAATGGAATGCAGTCTCTGTGTGCAGACAACTCGTGGTTTGGTGGAGGAGCAGCCCCATCAACAGGTTCTGTTAATTCCAGCCTGTGAGAATTAGAACCACAGGGTGAATTTTGGAAGAGAGGCACTTACACTAATCTGGAAGCATAATATATAAAGAGTACCTACAAATCAATTTAAAAAATACAATAGAAAAAAAATGATCCAAGCATATGAACAGAAAATTCAATGAAAAGAAAATAGAAATGGCTCTTAAATGAATGAAAACATACTCTCACTCAGAGAAATGAAAATTTAACATGTCAAGATACTTAGGGTGAAGGAAGTGTTCTAAAATTAGATTGTGGTGATGGTTATAACTCTGTACATTTACTAAAATTTATTGAAGTGTATGCTTAAAACAAATGAACTTACAGCATGTCAGTTACATCACAATAAGGCTGTTTTAAAAATAAAACCACATTGAGATACCATTTTATACCTGTTGGTATTAGCAAATGTCAAAACACTGGATAACGCATCATGTTCCTAAGGGCATGGGGGAGACGGCCTGGGGCAAGTGTCCACTGATGCACTCTGGGGTTGGGATGGGCAACACGACACTGTGAAACGTACAAATATATTTACCCTTTGAGCTGGGAATTCCACTCATAGGACTTTATCTGATAGATATGCTTTACATCTGTAAAATGTATCAGGAAATTCACCGCAGCCTCAGAGATTATGGCAAAAGTTTGGAAACAAAAGATGTTCGTCTACAGATGAAATGCTATGCCACTGTTGGAAAGAGAGAGAGAGAGAGAGAGAGAAAAGAGTGAGAAAAAGGAAAGAGTAGCTCATTGCATACCGATACAGCATAATCCCAAGATAGAATTCTTGTGAAAATAAAGGTGCAGTATGTGATGTGTTACCACTTGATTAAGAACTGGCTAAGGAGAGAAAATATATACATTCGCTTACGTATTTACAGCGTTTCTCTGGATGGAAAACAAAGCTGTTAAGAATGGTTGACATCTACCTGGGTTTGGGTGGCTGGGGACAGGGATGGGAGAAAGATTTTCACGGTGTACCTTTTGATTCCTGTTGAAATTACATAGATAGGTGATAGGTAGAGCTAGAAAGCTATACACATGCACACATGCATACCCACGTGTATATATACCCTATATAGGAAAACGAGATTAAAATGCAAAATGAGAAGTTTTTGACTAAAACAAAGATTGGAAAAAAAGTTTTCCAAGAAGAAAAGGCAGGGGAAAATTCCAGCCACTGACTAAAACGTAAAGAAACAAGAATTCCCTTGCCTTATTGCCAGGAATGTAAATTGTTCCAACTATTTTGCAGAGTAATTTGGCTGTTTCTGGCAAAGCTGAAGATTGGAATGCCACATGGCCCAGCCAGTCCTCTTCCAGGGATATGAGAAGCCCTCACACATGAACAAGAAAGAGATGTGTCCAAAGACATTCATGGAGCCCTATTTGTTAAAAGATTAAAAAAGAAAGAAATTAAGAAATACCCAGCCTGGGTAACATAGGAAGACCCTATCTCTACTAAAAGTAAAAAGTTTAAAAACTAGCTGGGCATGGTGATGCACACCTGTGGTCCCAGCTACTTGGTAGGCTGAGGTGGGAGGATCACTTGAGCTCAGAATATCGAAGCTGCAATGAGCTATGATCGTGTCATTGTACTCCAGCCTGGGAGTGACAGAGAGTGAGACCCTGTCTCAAAAGAAAGGAGAAGGAAAACAGAAACCAACTTTGGACTCAGCTGACGGCCCATCCTGAGGGTACCAGATAGCAGAAGCTGGGACCTTCTTCAGGTGGACGCCACACAACATTTTCTTTGCAGGCGCCCATGCTGATGTTCATAGAGCACACAGCATTTCAGCTGAAGAAAGAACTGGCAGGATTTTCATCAAGAAAGGGCACTATCATTTATGAAAATGAAGCATATAAAGTAAAAGTTTGGAAACAGAAATGAATTAAATCTTCGGACAGATTTTAAAATAAGATTTAAAAAACAGCAAGACGTGCCATGTTCTTGGATGGGGAAACTTAATACCAGAAAAATGTCAATTTTCCCATTTTTCCCATAGAAATGTAATGTAATTCAAATTACCTTACCAACAGGATAAGTTTTTAAAAACTGGATACAATGATCTCAAAGATTATATGGCAGGTTAATTGCCCAAGAATTACCAGGGAAGGCTGGAAAAAAACTGCTGTGGGGGTTTTGCTTTCCTGGAAATAAGAACATACTACAAAGTCACTATACTCAGATCAATATGGCAGTGGTAGAGGACTAGACAATGGAAAGGAATGGAGATTACAAAAATAGATTTCAGGATATATGAGAAGGAAAAATATGACAAAGGTAGTATTTTGATTTGGTGGGAGAAGGGCATATTGTGAAGTAACTG